GCATCCCCTCCGCATCCCATTCTGCATGCTGTCCCCAAGCTCTGGGTCAAGTCCTATCTAAATGGCCAGCTTGTCCAAGATGTGCTGGGCAGTGGAGACCTCTCCCCTCTACCCAGGCCAAGGAAGCAGGAATGACCAGTGGAAAGAGAGCCAGAGGACAGCCAGCCAATTCTTGGGGATGGAAGCACCACTGAAGGACAGTCCCTCCTCCATGAAAACACTCTTCTGGCTGGGCATGGTGGTCCACACCTGTAATCCCAGCACTTGGGAGGCTAAGGCAGGATTGCCATAAGCTCGAGCCCACCCTGTTGTTCTCCTGGGTGTCCTGACGGGACTGCCTGTGGTAGGGACAGCATGGGCTTCACATGCTATCAGAAGGATGTGGTGGTCCATCTTGTAGTCCCAGCATCCTGGGAAGCTGAGGCAGGAGGATCAGAAAGTTCAAGACTAGCTTGGGCAACTTAACAAGACCTTGTTACAAAATAAAAATAAAAAAGGAGGGAATAGGATTTAGCTCAATGGCACCATGCCTGCCTCAAAAGCTCAAGGTTCTGAGTTCAATCCCTGGTACCAAAAAAAAAAAAAAAGGACCAGGGGTATGGGTCAAAGGGAAAGCCCTGGGTTCAATCCTCAGTACCACAAAGAAGAAGCGCCACTAGGCATGGGGTCCAGTCTGGGCTCCATTTCCAAGCTAAGTGGCCCTGGCAAGTGCCACAGCTGTGGGCCCTCAGCTCCCTCCTCTGTGGGTCAGGTGTCCTGGCAGGTTGCAGAGAAGAAGTGAGGTGACACACAGGGCCTGGCACAGCGTGTGGCATGAGGCTGGCTCTGTTAGATGGCATCCCTTTCCTCCATGCAGAGCAAATCCAGGGGCAACCAGTTTGTGAAATGGGCCATCACAGGAAGTAGCATTGTCTTCTGTCGTTTGTAAGAACTCTCTTTTGGATCTGTTAGCAACGTCTTCATGGGTGTCAGTTTTCCAAGTAGTTTTTTTTAAAAAAACAGGAAGTACTAGTGTTGAGCTAAAGTCTTATTGTTGGATGTTAAATCCAACCTTCAAATTTGCTTTTCTCAAAGTTTAGCCTCTTCCTCCAGCCCTGGTCTGACCTGTGCCTCAGGGACTTGCACTATGGGGCATAGGATGTGGCAAAGCTTGCCTTGGCCTTTGTCAGTGAGCCACTGTCATTCTTCCTCAGCTTTGCTGGCAGGACTGAGATGCCCACAGTTGGGACAGGCAGGGCAGCTCTTACATGGAGCTGAGCTGAGGTCCTTCTGAGCCCCTCCCTGAGTGGGCGTTTCCCCTCCATCTCCTCTCTGGGTTACCTCTCATATGGTTCCCAAACCCCTGCCCCCGGGCCTTTTACTGCTAGGACCCTGGGTCCCAGCATGTGGCCCTCTTGGATGCTCTCCGGAGCTCTTCCTTCTAGGTCCACCCAACCCTCTCACTCTCATGCATCCTGAGGCTAGAAAGACTGTGTGTTAGTTTTCTGTCGCATAATGAAGTCTTGACAGTGAATTTAGGAAGAGATAAGCATTATTTGGCTCATAGCTTTGGATGTTCCAGTCCATGGTGTTTTGGTATTTGGGCCTGTGAGAGGCAGCACATCAGGTGTGTGTGTGGGGGGAACAGAGCTGCTCACCTAGGGGCTGGGAGTGCAACTCAGTGGTGGACCCATACTTAGCAGGTGCAAGGTCCTGGATTCAATCCTCAGCACAAAAACCAAAGGAAAAAAAACACTCACCTCATGGTCAAGGAGCAGAAGAAAATGAGGAGGGACCCCATCCCACAATCCCCCCTCAAAGCATCTCCTCCAAGGGCCTAAAGGTTCCACTGCTTCCTGATCACCACCCTAGGGACCCAGCCTTTAACACATGGACCTCTGGGGAATATTTAGATCCAAACTATACGCTGGCACAGTGGGTCGGTCACACCTGTAATCCCATCCACTAGGGAGGCTGAGGCAGTAGAATCACTTGGGTTCAAGAGTTTGAAGGCAGCCTGGGCAACACAGACCCTGTCACAAAAGAAAAGAAAGATCCAGACTATAGCACTCTAGAAGTATAGACCGCTCCCATCGCTGCCCTCCCCTGCCCTGCTGTGTGGCAGCCCAGCCAGCCTCTCATCCAGCTCAACAGCACAGCTTCAGATGCCCAAGGGCCCTGTCTGGCTCTCCCAGGACTCTCCCCATGTCCCAGCCAACAGCTCAGCAGCATCCACCTGGGAGGTGAGCTGTGGGCTGGCCTCTTGCTGCAGCCCTACAACCATCAGGTGGCCTGGGCAGGAAGGATGCCAAGCACTGCCCACTGCATAGCTCACCACCTCATGCCCATTGCCACCACCCCCGGGATAACTTCCAGCCTTCTAGTACAGTCTGGGGGAGTAGGGGCTGGTGCTCACCTACAGACATGCTTTGCTGATTGCCTGAGTCCCACGTGGATGTGTCTAGAGCTCCTCTTTACAGTGGGGAGTCACAAACCACACTGTGTTCTTAGCTTTGGGACTTTAGCTGAAAATCCTAAAGAGTAAGAATTCCACTCAACATTGTCTTAGCAAGACAAAGCATTAACTTTCTGGGCTCAGGATTTTCACTTTCTTTAGAATGGTTTTGTTCCTGGAGGTTTTGTTTCCCTCAAGGGCTAGAAGCAGTGTTGTGTACATTGGTCTAAGGCACCAAGCTCGAAACTAGAGCAAAAGGGTGGTAGTCTGTTCCCAAACAGGGTATAGTGCATATCCCTTCTGTCCTTCCTTCCTCACCAATACACCTGAATTAAGGCCCCCTACACTTTAAATGATCTACAAATTTAAACAATTTTTATCATCAGAGTACAGGAAAGTCATAAAACACACAGCTTAACAAATCTTAACACAGCTGTTCCCCGTGTAACTGCCACCCAGGTCAAAAGGACATCCCTAGCACCCCTGAAGCCCCCCCCCACGTACCCTCCCAGTAACTATCCTGCCACCACCCAGAGGAAACCCCAGCACTGACAGTCATCAAAATCACTTTCTCAGTTTTCCTTATCATTTGACCAACCAAGTATGCATCCCTAAAAAATACTGTCATTCAGTTTCTCCTGATTTGGGCATAATTGGGCCAATGGAATTGGGCATAATGGAATAATGCAGAATGTATCTTTTTGTGTCCGGTTTGTTTAACGTCCTCTTTGTGAGATTCACCCATGTGGTAAGTAGCTGTGGTTCATTCTTTTTCATCCTGTCTATTGCTATATAATGAATAGACCATGATTTAGTTACATTGCAGGACATAAGGAATCTCAGTCTAGTACTTTTAACAAACACACTCCCACTCCACATACAGCCATAAAATTCAGAACTGATTTCTTTGTTTTTATTTATTTATTTATTTTTTGGTCCCGGGAATCGAACTCAGAACCTTGCGCTTGCAAGGCAGGTGGCAGAACCACTGACCTAAATCCCCAGCCCTGGAACTGATTTCTTTATGAACTCAAGAACTTGAGTTTGTCTTTAAAGTAGCCAGGCATAGTGCCACATGCCTGTAATCCCAGCACTCTGGAGGCTGAAGCAAGAGGATCCCTGTGAGTTCGAGGCCAGTCTGGGCTACATAATGAGTTCAAGGCCAGCCTGAACCACATAGTGAGATCCTGTCTAAAGAAACCAAAAAATCAACAAAAAAAAAGAGAGAAAAATCCATTTATCAAGTTCCTGGGTGAACTACTAGTTTGTTGTTTTTCCACTCTTTTGTGGCAAGTTCTGATTGTAGCGACATAATCCATGTTCTTCAACATGGGTAATATCTTAACATTTTCCCCAAACTTGAGTCATTAAACAAGATGAATACCATGGTCAAATAACTGGGTATATCCCGCAGGGAAGTTAGAGAATGATTAACATATACATTTAAGAAATATACTCTGAAATTACAGTATTATAAGAAGTATTTTCTCTGGCCTGTTTAGGGAAATAGCCAGACAGGACAAACTCTTCTCTACCCCTTTCCTGGGGCTGGCCCTACTCAACTGGCAATGCACAAGCATGAATTAAAAAGGGACAACCCTGAAGTTTTGCTGCTGGAGGTGTTGAAAGGTGCCACAGGGCTGCTCACAAAAAGGGTCCATTTTCAGGTTAGCTTCCAAACAACAAGTGAATCCTCCCATCCAGAGATTAAAACCCTTGCCATAACCAGTCAAGCAACCCCACAAAGAGACTACAGCCAGCAGTGAGCAGAGCTTAGGAAGAAGGAACAATGCCTTGGATGGCACAGGCAAGCACACTGGCAGGCAGCTTGGTCTCCTGCAGAAATCAATTCATAGAGACTTTTAAAGCCAGTGCTTTAAACAAGTGCGTAGGCTTAGGCATAACTGTGAGTGTTAAAAGCAGTAAGCAGCTGCCCAGGCCCAGAGCACACTGCCAGGTCAGAACCCCAGACCACAACATCTGGACCTAAACCTTTCCCTTGGCCAGTGTGAGCAAGGGTGACTGACGGAGGGCCTCGGAGAAGGGGCTGACACTCAATGTCAGAGTCACACTCAGGCTCCGAAGGCCGCAGGTGAACACACTTTCAATCCTCTCGTCAACTTCACAAAGCCTTTTTCTGGGTCCATGATCCCACCTGATCCCACTCTCCCTGGTCCCAGAGTGAGCAATCCCAGCTAAGATGAAGGCTTTCTGGAAATCTGTCCTAAGGAGGCGGTGCCGTGGGTTGCTTTAAAATCAGTTGTGGGGGTGCAAGTGCCCTCGGTTGCCTTTGTGGTCACCTGGGGGTGTGCGCCTGTGAACAACTTCTGCTTCATATGTGCCGCAGGGCCCTTCCTGTGACCCTCTGGCCCCATCCATGTTGGTTGATGGACCCCAGCCAGCCACCCAGGTGACTTCCATCAATCCAGAAGAGGCCAAGTCCAGGAACGCCTCTAGTACCACCAAGGGAGGGAGATGGCAAGTCCCTCACCTCACCTGTCTGCTCCAGCCCCGTGCTTCCTGGCAACCCCACTCTCGCCCATCCCGTGTGTCTGTGTCCCCGCAGGTTTCGGCATGACCACGCCTGCCACTGTGGGCGGAAAGGCCTTCCTCATTGCCTACGGGCTGTTCGGCTGCGCGGGGACTATCTTGTTCTTCAACCTCTTCCTGGAGCGCATCATCTCGCTGCTGGCCTTCGTGATGCGCGCGTGCCGCGAGCGCCGCCTGCGCCGCAGTGGGCTGCTGCCCGCGCCACTGCGCCCCGAGGCCGACGGGCTGGCGGGCTGGAAGCCCTCTGTGTACCACGTGCTGCTCATCCTGGGGCTCTTCGCCGTGCTGCTGTCCTGCTGCGCCTCCGCCATGTACGCCAGCGTGGAGGGCTGGGGCTACGTGGACTCGCTTTACTTCTGCTTCGTCACCTTCAGCACGATTGGCTTCGGGGACCTGGTGAGCAGCCAGCGCGCCGCCTACCGCAACCAGGGCCTCTACCGCCTGGGCAACTTCCTCTTCATCCTGCTCGGCGTGTGCTGCATCTACTCGCTCTTCAACGTCGTCTCCATCCTCATCAAGCAGGTGCTCAACTGGATGCTGCGCAAGCTGAGCTGCGCCTGCTGCGCGCGCTGCTGCCCGACGCCCGGCGCGCCCCTGGCCCGGCGCAACGCCATCACACCGGGCTCGCGCCTGCGCCGCCGCCTGGCCGCGCTCGGAGCCCGCCCCGCGCCTCGCGACCCCGACGCCGAGGGCCGCCGCCTCTCCGGCGAGCTTATCTCCATGCGTGATCTCACGGCTTCCAACAAGGTGTCGCTAGCCCTGCTACAGAAGCAGCTGTCGGAGACGGCCAACGGCCACCCGCGCGGTGCGTGCATCCCCGCGCGCCAGAACGGCTTCTCGGGGGGCGTGGGCGCGCTGGGCATCATGAACAACCGGCTGGCAGAGACCAGCGCCGCCAGGTAGAGCGCTCTCGAATCTGGCGCTTTCTTAATCTTTATCCAATAAAATGAAACCAAAAAAAGAAATTTTTAAAAGAAATGCTATTTGGCCAGGCCTGATATTATGAAGGGCAGGTTTTGGGGGAGCCCGTGTCCTCAGCAGGTTCTCCAGGGAGAAAAAGTGGCACCCCAAGTCCCCACCTGGCTCCAGCCGCAGCAAGGAGAGCTCCATTCCCGGGCTCTGCAGACTGGCACCAGACCCTTCCTCATGCTCATAAGCAGCTGGCAACCCCAAAACATATGGTGCATCTTTTCATGGCTCTGAATTACCTCCACAGCATTTAGAATCCTGGCCCAGCCTAGCAGCTTCCTTCTGGTCATCAGAAGTGAGATAGTCACAGTTTTGACAGGTGGGGGTGGGGACAGCCATATGTTGCCTCCCGTGTGTGTATATATAGAACAGCCACTACACACAGACAATGCTGTAGTATTATGCAAGGAGATGAGGCATAGCACCCACTTGCGGACTGTGGCATTTCCCCCACATTTGCAAATTGCAAATGGTAAGGGGCTTAGCTGGCCTTTCCCAGCCTGGAGGTAGTCCACTCGGCACAGCACACAGGGCAGTGACTAGCTCAGGAGGGGAGCGCTCAGGCAAAGGGACCCTGCCCTGCTCCATCCGGAACCCCCAACGCTGTTCACACTTGCAAGCTTCATCCACACACAGGAGAGTTCACCATTACTAATGAACTATGTGACACATCTCAAACAAGAGGTTTTCTTTTTTTTCTTAACTACCGTTGATCAGTTCAACTTTTTTCCTTGTTAAAGAGCACAGCCCACATCCCCTCGCCCCGATGAGTCAGGGAGCTGCCAGCTATACCAGGAACCCAAAGCAGCCCTCTACAAATATCAGGGCATTTGGCTCCAGGGCCCATGGAAGATGCGGAAGGACAGAATCAAGGAATGTATTTCTTATGTGCACAGTCTGCAGTGGAGGTGGAGGGAGGGAGGTGGGGGAGCTGGCAGGAACCCTGGAAGGAACTTGAGGGTTACAGTCATGTTGTGTATGATCCTCAGGCTCAAGAACCGATTCTCCTGGATTCTGCAACTTGTGGGGCTAGAAGTGGGGAATGGAGCTGTGAAGCAACACTTCTCTGCCCTTGTTTCTTACCTAAAGAAATGTTGACCCTCAGGACCAGGATGTGACCCCATCTGATAGGAAGACTTAGAAAAGTACCACCTTGCCACCATCTCTAGCAATGCTGTGACCTCTCCCTCTCTGGCATTGCCGGTAGCGCACACACACACACACGCACACACACACAAGCAGGCACATGTGCATGCTCACATGCAAACAGCATTAAGAGTCATGCTTGACGGGCCTGGGATTTAGCTCAGTGGTTTTGCTGCCTGCTGCGCAAGCACAAGGACCTGAGTTTGATCCCTGGTACCAAAAAAAAAAAAGAGTTATGCTTGAATGTCAGGCTCCTCTTTCCTCTTTTTTTTTTTTTTTTTTTGGTACCGGGGTTCGAACTAGGGTCCTTGCACTTGCGAAGCAGGCAGCAAAACCACTAAGCTAAATCTCCAGCCCTCCTCTTTCCTCTTGCAGTTTACAGCAAGAAGGAAAATGAGCTGGAGTCTCAGGCACTCTCAAGCTACTTGGGGGTAATTTCTCATGGGGTTAGAATTGGTTGTTTTTGTTTTTGTTTTGTACCGGGGATGGAACTCGGGTCCTTGCACTTGTGCAGCAGGCGGCAAAACCACTGAGCTAAATCCCTGGCCCTAGAATTGGTTTTGAAACACACACCCCAATCTGGGGTGAAGCCGGTGAAGGGTAGGCAGGAGATGGGTCAGGAGCCTCCTGGGAGAGCCCACCTCCAGGACCCCTCTGAATGATGGCCACAACACAGGAAAGGAAGACACACTGAGGGAACACATGTTTCTACTACAGAGCCTATGGCAGGATCTGGAAATAAAGTTCCATATCTATCCCTTTAAAAGAAGGAACCACTAAAAGTCATCCAATAATAAATATATATATATATATATATATATATATATATATATATAAAACACAACAATTAGAGACATCACCTAGGCAACAGGAAGTTACTTGGGGATCTGAGCCATTCCAAAGGGGAAGTAGAGATCCTCATGGTAAAGGACCGTGAGGACTTAGTCTGCAGGCAAAATAGCCTACCCAGGAGAAGGGGGCTGCCAACTGCACTCTGGACCCAAGGCAGAGTTCTAAGACTCCACAGCCAGACAGGTATAATGAGGCGTCTGTGTTGTGGAACAAGCAGCCAGCCTGCATGGAAGGCTGTTTCCATGGGAGGGACCAGGATCTGCCTCCAGGGAATGGCAAAGCATTCCTTAGCTGTCTCCTCTGTCTACCCACAGTTGCTTATCCTGCAACCTTAGCTGTTTTTTCTTCCTTTCCTGTGCTCTGGCTTTGGAAGGAAGCAATTAGGGGCAGTTTGACCAGGCTTCTAAAGAAACCATAGCATGATTTGAATCCCTTCTCCTTCCCTTTTACAACTTCCTAGAGAAATGCTAGTCTTCCAGAGTAAAATGGTAGCTGAGGATCCAGGGACACATGAGCATCTGTCCCCACATTCCCCTGGTTCTCACCCCAAGCTCAGTGGCACTGCCTAGTACAACACACCATCATCCTTCCCAGCAGGCCTTGGGTACAGTGCCCACGAACCAAGGGCTGCTTCCTTGAAGAGCTGGGGCTCCTTGGGTCAGGGGACTTAGGACCCCCAAGGGACATATAGTCTGTCCTCCTGCTTGAGGGTATGGAGAATAAGGGATGGGGCCCTCCCAGCAGCTAGAGAATAATGACATTGATAGGGACCCCTTTATTCTATGCAGGTCCTTCCGAACCTCAGGGTAAGAAGGCCTCCATTTCCCCAGATGCCAAGGCCTCCCTCACCACCATGGGGGTCTCTAGTTGACCCACAGCTAGTAGCTCACTGCATTCCACAACTGGTTCAGGCTCCAGGAGCTGCTTCCTCACCTTAGGCACACTCCCCGCCGCATGCTGGGCTGAGGGCTGTCATAAAGGTGGCCTGACTAATACACTCTTGCCATCCAACTGTGGCCATGTAGAAACCAGAGTGCTGGCACCAGGCCTTTGCAGAGTTGAGCAGGCAGGTAAAGGGTCAGGCCCCTCCATCCTCTGAGTAAAACCTGAGGCCCCAGGCCTGGTGAAGGAGTCCAAAGGCTCAGGAAGTCTCAGGTGGAAAGTCTCACTGGTGGGAAGTATCAGACAGCCTGGGCATTTGCACAGCATCGTGCACATGAGTGCACATGCACACACGCACAGCAGCCTTACAATGAACTCCTAAGCCTCTTCCCCATAGAAAATCCCAGTCCAGGCCACTTTAAGAAGAAAGATTTCAGCCTAGTGTAGTGGTGCATGCCTATAATCCCAACTATTCGGGAGGCTGAGACAGAAGGATCACAAGTTGAAGGCCAGCCCGGCAACTTCTTGAGACTCTGTCTCAAAATAAAAAACAAAAGGGCTGGGGATATGGCTCAGTGGTACAGTGCCCCTAGGTTCAATCCCCAGTGCCACAAAAAAACCAAGAATGGTTTCTCATGTTTAACTCTCCAGAGTCCAACAAGGGCCTTGGGGAGCTTCATGTACAGTATGCAGGAGTTTCTGTTTTACCCAGAAACCAGCAGCCATACCCAAGCCCACCCTTGAAAAACTACTGCTCCGTGGCCCCAGCAGCCTCTGTCCCTCAGACAGGCCCCCAGAGAATCCCTCTTCCTGCAGGCAACTTCAAAGAAGCTTCTAGGGAGCTGAGGTAGCACGCAGCCCCCTGAGGTGGTGGCCACAGGAGCTTCAGGCCAGGGGGTTCTTCTGTCTTACTGTAACTTTTTACTCTTAAAACACAAAAAGCACAATTCTACATCACTGTCTGGAAAACATGTCTGGACAACACCTTGAGCCCTTCTGGGTCCAGAAGAGGCACTGGGGCTTTGTCATCTGTCTCAGCAGTGGTTGTGTAGCATAACTATGACCTAACACTCCTGGTGGCCCTGAGGGCTCCTCGTGCTGGGTGGGATGGAGTGGAGCCCTGCTGAGGCCACTTCTGAGCCCCAGAAGGCTCAGCAGCATGGACTTGGGCCTGGACTCTTGGTCCCAGAGCAGTCGTCACCCTCAGGTCCCTGGAGCAACTGCATTGTGGAAAAGCCATGAGGTTCCACACGAACCTGGCCTGAGCCCTCCTCCTATGGAAGCTGCCCCTGGCTTTCCAACTGTGTCTATGCTCCTCCCTCTCAGGAGGGGGTTGGAGCACTCAGCAAGCCTTCAGGGTTCTTGAACGGCAGACACATTTCTTTTTCCGGGTGACACTTCAAGAGAGGACTGCAAGGGTGTTTCAATTAACGATGAATAAAATGCAGCCTGCCACTCCTTGCGCTGTTTGCTTTCTGTCAGAGCGCCTCCTCCTCCTCCTTCCTGCTCCCACCTCCTCTCTGCAGTGCCTGGTGGTGGCCATGGGGCTCCTCTGCAGAGACCAGAGCAGGGTTGTTTGGGAGACAAAGCAGGGAGAAGATGAGAGGTCAGATTCCCCACTGCCCTGTAACTCAGAGTGGTTTGCTTAATTCCTGGGAGCCTGGAAAGCTAGTAAAGGAACTTGTGGTACAGAAAAATGTCTTGGGCCGCAGGACTGGAGGAAAAGAGTAAATGAGGGGTGGAAGGCAGGAAGGGTGGGAATGGAGAGGTGTGGCAGACTAGAGAGTGTCTCTCCAAGTCAGTGGTCAGCAAAAGCGACCATTTGCCTGGACGTGGGCAAAAGATGGAGAAAAGGCTTTGAGCAGCCCCAGGTTTCAGGATGGACCCCTGGACCATGAGGCTGCCACCATGCCTGGGAAACCAGGAGGAGCAACAGGCTTGGACAGGAGAGATAATGAGTTCAGCAAGGAGAAGATGGGTTTAAGGGGCCTGAGAGGTGTCCAGGAAGGTTTCCACTCGGCAGTGGCCTTATGAGTTCAGAGCTCAAGCAGTGATCTAGGCTGGTCCACCTTCCTGAAGTTCTCATGCAGGCAAAGACATGGAAAGATAAAAAGAGGGTTGTAAACAGCACTTAGAGAATGGGCAGAAGAAAAAGATAAAATAGACGAGGGAAGGAGAGCCAGAGATGTAGGAGAAAAGAGTATGGGATGCCAAGGGCCCAGGGCCAGCAGGGTTCTGAGAGGTGAGTTCCAAGTGCCACTGAGAAAGAGTAAAACAGGGACTGAAAGGGCACCCTGGATTTAGGGGCAGAGAGCATATCTGGCCTCAGCAAGAAAGCTCCAGGGATGTGTGGGCTCCTTTGGAATGGGGCTGCCCTGCACCCCTTAGGGATATTCCTTAGGATACAGTCAGCTGTGCTGATGGAGATCCAGCGGGTACCCAGCCACTTCTCCCTTATGTTATGGCCGCAGCAGCACTCCTGGTGTTGCCAGTGTCCATGGCCCAAGAGGTTGCACCACCCATCCACATTTCAGCAAAGGAATGGGAAAGGAAAGAGAATGGCTACATCCCGTCCTTCCAAAAGGGCATGGCCCCAGAATTCCACACATCACCTTTTCTCCCTTGCCAGCAGCTGTGTTGAGTCAAATGGCCTGCTACAGTAACACAGGGATGTGAAAATGCAGTTTTCCCTCAAGGCAGTCACGGACCAGGTCGGATTAGTACTCCCAATAAGGGGGGCATCAGTTCCTCTTCAGGCCACGCAGGGACATGGTCAACTGCAGTGATACCTGGGAGGGGTCATGGGAAGTCTCGTGTCACAGCTGTCTCCTGTTCCCAGAGTGACTCAGACCTCAGCTGGAAATAAGAACTGAGTCCCTTCCCCTTCCCTGGTTCCCACTGGCAAACACATACGAAAGGAAACTGGCAAGGAATTGTGGGAAATGTAGTTTGCAGACTTTCAGCCTCAGCAGGCACAGAGCAAGTTCAGAGGCTAAAATGACACACCCCAATTAGGACACCTTGATCACCATGAATTTCCCAGAAAATACCTTCTTATTAGAAGAACTGCAGTCTGGGCCAAGAAAAGTTACATTCCTAGTCCTTTGTTTTTTGCTTTTGTTTTTGTTTTGAAATGGGGTCTTGATACCAGGGTTGGTCTTGAACTCCTGGGTTGAAGTGAGTCTCCTGCCTCAGCCTCCTAAGTATCTGGAACTACAGGCACACATCACCATTCTCCATGCTAGCCCACTTTTGAGAGGCTTCTATTCCATTCATTTTTTTTTGGTACCGGGGATCAAACTCAGGACCTTATGAGGCAGGTGCAGTCCCACTGAGCTAAATCTCCATCCCTTCTACTCCATTGTGAGAGCAATATTCACAGAAGAAATGTTTAAGAATCACTGAAAAGGGCCCGGTATGTA